CTAATGCGGCTATTTAGAATGTGAATAGCGATCTTCGGGTGACAGCGGTACTACACACCCCCGATGCAGGTAAAACAAAGTAAGGGGACATAGTTTAATTTTTTGCCGATTTAACCTAATTTTAAAAACTGAAATACTTCCGACAATGGACGTTTTGAAAAGAAGACAGATTATGGATTTAGCCAGCGTTTTTTCATGATTCTACATTAAGATTTCAGCGAGAGATAAACTGAAATAGACGCGAGAAGTACCTGCGTCGCCAACTATGCATTCGACCCCAGAGGGTTAAAGCATGTGAGCAGAGCAATATTTGGACCATAAGACGCAGTGACTTTTTCTCCCCTCTTTTGGGGGAGGAAAAGGTGCGTCTTATGGTCCGAAAAATATGGTAACTGTGCATGGGGCCATTTGACCTTCTAGTGGACGTCATGTAGGCAGCAGAGCTTGTGAGCAGAGTGGAGCAGTGAGAATTTCCGCTCTTCGCTCACGGGGGGCGAAGGGTGACCCCGGGGGGCGGGGGTGACCCCGCCTGGCTGGACCGGTTGGTGGGGCCCTTCGGCCCTGGACCTGCCTGCCTCGGTGGGGGGGTTGCAGGTGGGGCTGGGGGGCTCGCCGCCCGTCCTCCCTGTATGGGGGTTGGCGCCCCCTTAGTCCCTCGCTGGCTCCCTCTCGGGTTGCCTGGTTTTCCTGCCTTCGCCTTGGGCTTGGGGGGGGGGGGATGGGGGTGCTGTCGCCTCCCCTGACGGCATCAAATGGTCACACCTACACTTACATACATACAAGAATGGTTGAGCGATCAATATCATTATTATTCTTACTTTTTAGGGTATGTTATAGATATAGGAATTGAAATATACATGTATAATTTTTGTTGTTTGATGTCCTTGTAATGAGTGTTATGTTTCTTATGGTTGTTTGTATTGTGTATTCCCCTATACTTAATTTTTTCCATCCCACCTACATTATTCGTGTTATTATTTCTGTATACCTTTTTTTTTTTTCTCCCCCTCTCCCCATGTTGATTGATGTCTGTTATTGTTACGCTTGTTGTTTCTGTATCTCCCCCTGTTTTTCTTTTTTTTTTTTCTTTTTCCACGGTACTGGTGAGTTTGGAGCGGCCACACTCTTTGCTCTTGAATGTAATGTAAAATAAAGTTGTCCTCCGAAGAGGGGGGGTGGTGGGCAATAAAATAAATAAATAAATAAATAAATAAATAAAAGAGGGACAAATAATCTGCATGCCTAACAAATGTCACCTTAAACCAAAGCCTAATATCATAAAGAAATATGAGCAACGGCAACATTGCCACTATGTTGTTTAAAAATATTTATTTTTAAACAACATATAGGCAACAACGGACAGGTTTGGTAATGGCATTCCACACAAAAATTGGCTTAAAAATAAAGGAATCAGTGGGCTTAATAGCCTAAAGAATATACAGGCTAAGCATCCACGTTTTAAATTCCTGTTTTTTTCTGTTTATGCTGCTGCTGCAAATTTCACTGACAGCGTTACATGAAATTAAAAAAATCCTAATAGAACTACTTTGGCCAACTTCACGCTGATGATGTCACCATGTAAACAAACATTTATATCTCAGAAACTAAAACAGCACAAAAAAAAATTTAACGGCACAATCTGGCACATACGATTGAGACCAGTTTGGTTGAAATCTGAAACATATGGGGGGCCAACTTCATGCAGGTTCAGTACCCTTTGTGAAAAACTTTGCTAATTCCATGTTGGCCAATTTGTGTAACAGTCTTGATTATACAGATGAATTCTGGGTTGATCTGGGCATGCCTCAGAGTCATAGCGTGAGCGGTATTGGAGCGAAATTGGAGCGAGACAGAGCGACCGCTCCAGCCTTAATTAAAAAACCGCTCCGCGCTCTGACCAAATTCCACTACGCTCCGCTTACATGCTCTGGTAGGCAGTAATGAAGTCTGAACACAATTGGTCAGCTGGACACCTTGGAGATGTGTGATAGACACAGGTGTAAATGGTCATGTGACTGCTGTTTACTGATCTGATCACCCAAGATGCATTTTAGAACCAAGTGTAAACAGGGTCTAAGTCAGAGATGGGCAACTTTATTCAAGCCATGAAATGTATTACCAGCAATGATGGGGGCAGTCAGTTTTATATATAATCTTTAAAACTGAACCCTACAATTTCTGTAGGCTGCAGAACATCTTCAATCAGCATAAAATACCACAAATTCATAGGCACACATACACCTATACAGTATATTAACAACAAATCAACATATTGCTTGAAAATACCATCAGAATACCATATATTGCGATATAACGTCTGGACAATATGACTGAAAAATTACAGCTAACCAAGACATTTTAAAACACACACAATGTAACAGAAAATGGAAAGAAGCGCTGTGGACAGACATGAATATTTGTCAGTAATGATGGGATGGCAGTTGGCTTTGCACTAGATAGACCTACTCGTTTCAACTAGATATTCAGCTCACCCTAAGTGTTCTATATTTTTACAGGTAACTGTTTCCAGTTCCACCTAGTGGTCAAACAGCACGATATGCTAGAATTCATTTCAAAGTGTTTTTATTTTGTTCATTCATAAAATATACTTTTAATATTTGTGCACAGCAAGCAGGCTGTGAAAAAGAGCGGAGAGGGCTGGTTGCGTCCTGCGAGATGCTAGCTGCCCATCCCTGCTATGTTATGCGAGTTTCTCTGGTTGGACATGTCTAGAATGTGAAAATGCAGATTGTTGATCCAAATAAATAAGTGAAAATGAATGTAAATGTAAAGCAAATAACAAACGCAAATTTCCCTCATAGGGGGTGTGGGCCCCTGATGGGGAGACTGTGAAAATCCAAGTAGCTATAAAGGTGTTGCTGGAGAACACCTCGCCCAAGGCCAACAAGGACATCCTGGATGTGAGTCTGGACACCTTGCATTTATGCACCTGTGGGGGGGGGGGTTTGCTTGTCCCCTTCCATCAGCTGTTAAATGCTACCATTCAGAGCCCTGAGCTGCATGATGTGAAATATTAACTGCATCCCTCACATCCACTTTATGCACATTGAAAAGGGTGCTTTTATTTAATTTAGCCCATTTTAAACCTATTAATGAATTGTAGAGTGGGCAACTTTAAGAGCACATGTGGGTGGTGTGTGGTCAGTAGGTTATGTTGCTGGTTCGAATCCTGTAACTATCAGAGTGATGACACCTCACCATTGGGCCCTTGAGCAAGACCCTTAATGCCAGTTCCAAGGCTGCTGTATGTCGCTATAGTGAAAAGCAGCTGGCTAATAACTGTAAGTGTAAAATGTGAAATAGTGATCAATGACCAGCTGGAGGAGTTATGGTGCTTTTCCACTGCCACCAGGAATCAACCTGACCTGTACCACAAACTGTCAGTTTTCCATTGTGAAGTATGCAAGCTGTACCTGTATTGACAGATTGCAGAACTGAGTGTGCCTAAACCAAGCTGGTTGTGTCATCACCATCTGATTGGTTGAAATGCACAGTGATCTGCACTTAATATTCATGAATTATCTGAAAGGGCATATTCTATACATTATTCATTATTAGTAGTATAGCACATCAAAATGTATTGATGCATTCCCGATAACTCAGAACTTGAAAATGTCCAACCTCCTACTTAAAACAGTAGTATGCAACAGCTGAACAGAATGGATATGTAATGCAAATTTACACATGCGAATACTAATTCCACTAGCATTTGTTGCTAACACAACACGTCGATTCACACGCACATGCTAGCAGAATTTAGCACATAGTAAACCTTAATGTACACCGTGTGGACAGTATATATGCTTTTCTTCGGGATTATGTCACTGTCACTCTCCAAACCCGGCAACGCAGTCTCAGTTCGTGGTATGGTGTTGGGTATGGTTCGGTTCCTGTACGCCAGTGGAGAAGCGTCTTTACATACGGTGAATGTGTTCCTCTAGAGTGAGAAACCATGGCTCTGTCCGCAGGAGGCCTATGTGATGGCGGGCGTGGCCAGCCCCTACATCTGCCGCTTGCTGGGCATCTGTCTAACATCCACTGTGCAGCTGGTCACCCAGCTCATGCCATATGGCTGCCTGCTGGACTATGTGCGTGAGAATAAGGAGCGTGTCAGCTCCCAGTACCTGCTCAACTGGTGCGTGCAGATCGCCAAGGTGAGTCAGCCCACATCTGATATCAGAGGACTTGGAGCTTACAGCATGGGCAGGGTTCTTGGGGCAGGGTTCTTGGGGCAGGGCGGGGGGGGGAGGGGGGGNGGGCAGGGTTCTTGGGGCAGGGTTCTTGGGGCAGGGGGGGGGGGGGGGGGGGGGACAGGTGATGACCAGGCTTGGTAGCGGAATGTGGACAAACACCCCCATGTGCCTGGACAGGGAATGAGCTACCTGGAGGAGGTGCGGCTCGTCCACAGAGACCTGGCTGCCCGCAATGTTCTGGTGAAGGATCCCAACCATGTCAAGATCACAGACTTCGGACTGGCTCGCCTGCTCGACATCGATGAGACCGAGTACCATGCAGAAGGCGGCAAAGTACAGCAACGCGTGGCGTCTTCCTGTCTGCTCTGCCTTGGGTGACACAGTCCAAAGCCTCTTTCAGTTCTCTTTTCGTATTCCTTTTCTCTTCACATCTGACCACATATTCTGCACACAGGCCGTGTAGGTCACAGGGCCTATTTGTTGTGTTGTAATGTTTGTAGATGGGATACGCATAGTTGGACCAAAATGGGTTATGGATGTGTATCCCAACATGCAGCTCTATCACACTGTACTTCCTAGAATTTGTTAGAAGCAAATGTTTGGGTTTTTAGCCCTAACTTGAGGAGCAGCAGCAGTAGAAAGCAGTAGCCCGTCTTGCTAAGATTGTGATTTAGCTGGCACTCGGCCCACCCCCACTACCCTGTCTGACTGATGCTTTTGTCCTCTGTGTCCCCCCCGCACGCCTCCACTGTAACTCTTTGTGGTGAGGGTCATCATTAGTGTGCCTTCGCCAAGCACCCTGTCGTGCATCAGTAGCTCTCTGTCGGTTTTGTGTGCAGGTGCCCATTAAGTGGATGGCGCTGGAGTCCATCTTACACAGGAAGTTCACGCACCAGAGCGACGTGTGGAGCTACGGTAAGTCTGTGCCTGTGCGCCTCTCATTGGCAGTGCACATATTGGACCATATGCTGATGTTATTCAGCATGAGCACTTCATGTCCCCAGGGGTGACGATCTGGGAACTGATGACGTTCGGAGCCAAACCCTACGACCTGATTCCAGCCAGGCAGATCCCGGAGCTGCTCGAGGGTGGGGAACGACTTCCGCAGCCCCTTATCTGCACCATCGATGTGTACATGATCATGGTCAAGTGTGAGTATAGACTGGCCAACCTGCTTATTATGTTCCTGGGTTTTCCTCATGAGTTTTGGTGATGGAGGAGACAAATTCAAAAGAATCTCCACTGCATTATATTATGTCTAGTTTGCTCATAGTTTCTGGACTCCATAGCTCGGGGTTCAGTATGTGGGGTGGAAGGACCTGGGCGGGGGCCCTGGAACTTCGCAGCAAAGATAATATTTTACCCATGGAATTTCACATGGAATTTCCGGCTTGCCATGGCAGCAGCCAGTAAAGGGCCGGTTTCCCCACTAGCGAAAGAGGCCTTAACCTGCATTCATTAACCTGCAGGCTGGATGATTGATCCGGAAAGTCGGCCCAAGTTTCGTGAGCTGGTCACAGAGTTCAGCACGATGGCCCGGGACCCTCCCCGATACGTGGTCATACAGGTGAGCTTATCAGCTTCATCCCTTCCTGCTGCTGCAGTGTCTCAGGAGAATGTTAAAGGGGGGGGGGGGATCCAGGGACTGGGGCGCACTGCTGCGATGCAAATTAAACAGAAATGTACTGAGGCTATTGGGTGCTTACTCCAGCAGGATTTTGATATGATATTGTGCAGATTGGCCTTTGGAATGATAGAATCTGTGATATTCAGCACGCATCCCCTTCCTTTCCTCCCCGCAGAATGACGGGAACATGAGCCAGTCTAGCCCAGTGGACAGCCAGTTCTTCCGCATGCTGCTGGTGGGGGACATGCGAGAGCTCCTGGATGCTGAGGAGTACCTGGTGCCCCAGCCGGCCTCTGCAGCCAGGGACGGGCCCTTCAGACACCCATCACACATGGTCAGAAATGCCCCGCAGGGTCATAACAAGAGGTATCGATAAGCAGGGTGATAACCGGGTCTCCCCTGTGTACACAGAGCGCCAGGCAGTGTGTGGAAGATGGGGCCTCAGCAGGGGGGGCGTACCTGTACTCATCTGTCAGCACCCTCGGGCAGGATCAGTGCCCCGCTCTGGCCATCCGGTCCCCCGCAGGCAGCCCTTGGGTGCCCCGGTACCCCTCGCTGGCGCGTAGCGTGTCCCATCATTCTGCAGGGGGCCATTCCGACTCCGTGTTCCTGGATGCGGGGGCGGAAGACTGCAGCAGTCAGGGGCGCTACTGCGATGACCCCTCACAGGCCACGGTTGCCAATGGCGACCTGGGGGCCATGAGTGCGAGGCTGCCTGGCCTCCCACATACCCTCCCCCGTGGAGCTCGCCGGCAACCAGGTGAGACCTGCTCTTTGTGTGTGTGTGTGTGTGTGTGTGTGTGTATGAGCTGCCTAAAGGCTCAGACAGACTGCCACTTTACACCCCCCCAATAGAATATGTGAACCAGACTGCTGCAGACGGCCCCGCAGGTACCCCTGTCCACTCCAGCACCCTGCCTCGCAAGACATCTACCAGAGTGCGGCACCCCCTCAACGGCCTGCGCTCCGGGAACAGCGTGGAGAACCCGGAGTACATCATCCCCCTGGGCAGCACCTCATCTGCGTTGGTCTGTCCTTACTACCTAGGCCTGCACACTCAGGCCGGGGGCGAGAAGGCCACAGCACCCACACCCTTGCTCCTCACTAATGGCAGCCTCACCAACGGCTTTGTCACGCCTGCAGTAGAGAACCCTGAGTACCTGGGACTGGCAAAAGGCACACCTGAACACATCTGGGGGGCAGAGGTGGGAGGCTCAGGGAGGAATGTGCCCTAGAGGAGAGCTTCAGAAAAGGAGGAGTGCTTACACTGAGCCCACTTATATACTCACGTGTGACCTGCAAGCAAATTCTGATTGGTCATTTGTTCACATTTCTGTTTCACACCATATCGTCCCATCAGCGTGTCAACAAGAAAAGGTCACCCTGCTTCTTCATGGCAGAATCACAAGTTAGCCAACACTGGATGCCTGGTTGCACTTATAAAAATTGCCTGGTGTCTTTCTATTGTCCCATTTTTGACTGGGAGGAGATCATTTAAAAAGTGCTTGAACACACTTGAGCTCTGCTGGCGCCTTTATCTTCATTTACCCCATTATATGCACCCCACCCCCACAGTTCTTCCTCCACACAGAGTACTTATAATTTTAGAATTGTCCTCCCATACCAGAGACTATACTGGTGTTTTATCATGCAGACTATGGTGTCTTGGACCTAATAGAGCTGACAAAAATCAAAGTCTATTTTGTTCATGAGAAAACGCTTTTCAGAACTGTCTGGCACTTGTTGTTGGTCCATGAAAGACCGACATTATGCATCAGCGGACAGAGCCCCGGGGTGTGAGGAAATGGCATTCGTGTTTGTCTATTGATGGGCTTTTGAAATGGTGCTGAGTTTGACGCAGTGGCCCTGGCCTCACCCACTGCGAGGGCGCAGCTGGGAACGGAACCCCTTTATGGCCGTGTGAAAACAAGATGGACGCCGTGTAGCAGGCAGTCACCAGGTGGCAGCGGAGTGCCTCGTGCATCCTGACAGACCTCTACAAAAAAGCCCGGCCTGGTGACAACTGTGGCACGGCCTCTGTGTTTCGGGGCAAAAGGGTAACCTTTCTAGACATGTACAGTTAAAGGATGTAAACGAGCCCTACTGATCCCAGTCAAGATGTTGCCATTTTCGACAAGTAGTTATTTAGTTGGGAAGGCTAAACCCGAAGAGACGTAGGTAAGAATTAAACCACAATGTTCTGGAGTTGGAATGTTCTGAGGAGAGAATATCAGGCACATTTAAACACGATAATCAACATTTAAGCTGCTGTGGCAGGACGCAGGTTGGACGCCTGAATGGCGACATTTTTTTGGGAGGCTAGGCAGGGTCACTTCCACTCAGATGAAAATGTTCCTCCGCAATACGAAGATGGTAGGCTTACAGACTCAGAGACACTTGAATTGGCCGTAGCAGCTGCATTCTGTTTTATATGGCTGTATTGTGTGACGTGAAAAAATAATATAATTTCTTATCGCCAAAGCAGAATTTGACTGCACATTAAAAACTAATTTTAAAACAAATATGAATACTGGTATTCGACTGAGAGGAATGTAAATGGTTGTGGTTTGTGTGACACATTGAATGACGCCAATCTATTGTATTGTGCCATGTGGGGTGAGTGAGAGGGTGGCTCAGTTAACTGCATTCTCCCAGTGCTTATATTTAAACATTTCTATTATATCAATATTAGAAAAATTTGTTAGCTAGCTATGTTATATTGCATTAGTCAGAATTTAATTATACCAGGTTATTTCCATTTATTCACAAAAACTACTTTGTGTATAAAATACTTCCTCCGACTAACTTGTGCTCTGAGGTAAATTCAGTCCACAGAGGTATGATGTCGTCATTATGCTGCTAAACATTAAAAAATTCTGCATGCCATCGTTCTGGCTTTGCATACCTAATGTCAACCTTTTTCAAAATGTTTACAAGTGACCATCTCTACTGACTTCCAGATTTAGGCCTTGAATGCTAAAACGGGCTTTATCTCCTTGGAATTTTATTATCCTTATTTCATTTTTAAGTGATTTTTAAATTAAGATAATGTATGTATATTACTACTTTGGAACTGATGTTCACTATAGCCTCTATGTTAATTATGTCTGCAATTGCTATAGAGGAAAAACATGAATACAACAGACAGGAAACTTAAGTTTACTATAAACCAGATGCACAGTTAGTTATTAATGGTCTCAGGTTCACTAAAACAAGAACAGTCTGTACACACTTCTGCCAGTTATGCAAATTACATAATGATCATAATGAAAGTTGTTTATGGATGGAAATCCCTTTAAAGTAGATAGAAAAAAAAATCCTGGTCACATTTGTCTTGAGTTGTCTTTCATCCCACATGAATTTTTTAATTTTTTTTTAAAAGCTTAGATGCTTTAAAAGTTTTACCAAAAACAAAACAGGTCATGAAAGCTTGGTATCATTGCATCTGTAACCGCATGCTGGTTCTGTCAGTCCACATTGGATTATGGGAGTATTGTCTCTGGCTCAGCAAAGAACTAGTATGTATAGTTGGTAGACACTGTTCATCACCAAGATATATGGCTTTCTTTTGAGATTTTCCTAATCTAAAGTTTATATGTGAAAGCTAATGAACCCTCAATTGAAAATAGAGGCTTGAAACTGGCCCTGGAGCATGCATCTAAGCATAAAAAAATAATAATAAAAATCCCTTTGTTTTCCATTGAAGGTTGTTATGTCTGTATGAAAGTAGACCAAAATACATCCTATCATTTTTACTAAGAATCTAACTTCACTTGGAAAACTAAAAATTGATCTGAACATTCTACACCAGACTCATTTCTGCAGTATTCCTCTCTGGAAGCTAAAGAAAGTAAATATACTGGACTCGAATAAAATACAGTCCCAGGCTCATCCAAACTCTTTCCATGAGCAGTTGTTGGACATTAAGGAAAGGTTTCCAACTCACATCCCCATATATACTGTACAGTTGGCTCTAAAGCTGGAAGTCGAGTCTCTGCTACAGAGTCACTGTTAAGCAACTGAATATCAGTTATCTGAATACCAGGGGAAAGTTCTATTTTTACAGCAGAAACTTGTGCCCTGCTGTTAAGTTCAGATTTTACTGATTGTAAACAGAAGGCATATTTAATTTGCACTGACTCCATGTCTTATTTGCAACCTCTGAAAACCTCATTCTGAATACGGGTCTGAAAACAGATCCTGTGATTGTCAGTCTGATGTACAGAAATACAGTATACATTTTTGTTGGGTGCCACGTCATTGCAGTGTGCCTGGGGATGAACAGGTAGATAACACCTTATTTCATATACACTCACCTAAAGGATTATTAGGAACCCCTGTTCAATTTCTCATTAATGCAATTATCTAATCAACCAATCACATGGCA